GAAGAAGGTGAATGAAGGCAAACCCAGGGCTGAGGCAAGGGTTTGGTCAGTCAGCCACTATTCTCGAAACCTAAGATGCGCCCAGCCCTGTGGAGGATCCAGAGGGACGACGTGGAGCCTGCCTTCAAGAAGCTTAGCATGTAGTTGGGAGAGAGAACTAACAGACCCGAAACCCTAAGTGAAAGCGCTGGAGAAGTTTTGCATTGGGTGCGAGTTCAGAGCAGAGGGACTTGAGTCAGGAACTTTAAGCCAGCTGTGCTGGGGTCCAAGCTGCGCTGGGGTCCAAGCGGTATTTGAGAACGTGGTCATGCAGTGACATTGGAGAAACCAGATGCATTGGGAGAATGTAACCCCAATAGGGAAGTGGCAGAGGTTCTGGAGAGACTTAGCAGCACATCTGTTGAACCCATTTCAAAGGGGGAATGGATGAGGTTTTGTGACTGGTTCCCTGACTGTTGTGTCTGGGTGGCTGATTAAAATGCAGACTCTTGGCCTCTACTCCAGATAGTATGATCCCCTTCTTATGTGGTCTGAGGTGGTGTCTAGGGATGACCTCATTCTGCTACGGTGGCCTGCAGGACATACTTGGGAAGCACTGGTAAAGAATGGATTAGGCAAAGCTGATTAACTTTCCCATGAGAGACAGACATTGGGAAGGAGGCATCCAAGCTGGGCTGCCTGATTTTTGTTACTGTTTCAGAAGGACGGGAAGAGAACAGGTAGCTCTAAGAATTAAAGACCAGGGAAGGGAGAATAGAATTAACTCCCCAACTGGAGACGGCATTCCTGCAGTCCTCATCCTTCACCCAGATGCCCATGTTCTCCTCCTTATCTGGTCACCGTCACATCGGAGAACATAATGATGACAATTTAAAATCACGTCTGGGTTCAGCCCTTGTATGAGCCAGCTGGGTATTATGCCTAGGGAAGCTTGTTTTTTTGGGTGCTGTAACTCCAGGAAGTTATCCTGTAATGAATGTGTACTTTGTTAGATTTGGGGAGCAAGGAAATATGGATCAAAACAACAAGCCTGTTAATACTGTTAATAGAAGAACCAGGAGAAATCACAGGAGTAAATACAGTTCAGTAGATTCTCCACATATGAAAACCATCATATTATAATCACTTCTTACGTAGTAGACACTTGACCTGGGAATGTTCTTTATGGATGAGCTTTGGATTGTTCCCTCTTGCCATCCAGGGCTTACCTGGGGAACGACCCAGGCTGTCCCACTCCTGTCTTCTCCTAAAGGGAGTGAGCCCTGCAGGCCACACCTTGCATCCACTCCAGTGATCACCACCTGCAAGCTATTATTCACTTCAGCTTCCTCCAGCTCTTTCCCTGGTCCATTTGTTTGTCCTACCACCCCTTTCTTAGGCATAAATATTTCCTGCTGCCCCCACACCGTCAAGAAAAAAGAAAACAGCTCGGGGATGGGGCAGGGGCAGTGGTTCGTAGTCCCAGCTATACCTTAAGATCACTTAAGGTCAGCTTTATAAAGTGTCAGCATTTGAGCCTCATCCCCAGAGATTGTTTTCATTATTCTGGGCATCAGAATTTTTAAAGCTCGCCGGGAGATTCTGATCCGGTGGTTAGGATTAAAAGCTGCCTCAGTGTAAGTGAGATGTAACGATACTAGCAGTACCTGCATCTCAAGGAAAATGGAAGCTGCAGGATTTGAAATGAAAAGAGGTATTTTAAAATAATGCCTTTTGGGGGCGCCTGGGTGGCTCAGTCGTTAAGCGTCTGCCTTCGGCTCAGGTCATGGTCCCGGGGTCCTGGGATCGAGCCCCACATTGGGCTCCCTGCTCGGCGGGAAGCCTGCTTCTCCCTCTCCCACTCCCCCTGCTTCTGCTCTCTCTTGCTATCTCTGTCACTATCTGTCTCTCTCTCAAATAAATAAAATCTTAAAAAAAAAAAATAATGCCTCTTGTTGCTCCTGTCCCTCCAATGCATGCCAAGTCCCTGGGGTTCTCCTTCTCCCTCTCTTCCTCCTTTATTTAAGTCCGCTTTCTATTAAGCATCAGCATCAAAAGGAAACAAAACAACAACCGAGAAGATTCCTTTCCTCGATTTAGCATTTCAGTGACGTGGTCTTCCACTCCATCTATGCAGTTGACTGGGACCTACACCTCTGTGAACTCCCACGTGCAGCAGGCTGTGATCTTCATCCCCTCTCTGGGCCTCATGTTCTAGTGGAGCAGTGTTGGGGGCTGCAGAACCCCGTATAGCCGGAGGGTATGGGCTGTCACATGGAGCCGGTGGTCACACGCTTTGGTCCACGAACACGCACTTATTTCTGTTGGATAAACAACTTGGGAGTCTCTTTGTTCATCCTTGAAAGAGAGTGATGACCAGGAAGTAAACCCTCATAATTCTCAAAAGCATTCTAAGGTTTTTTTTTTTTAGGCGCCAATTAAAAATTAGATCTGCAAATGAAGAGCTGGTGATTGGCAGTTGAGGGTTATTCACCTCCTCTCTAAACTCCCGTTGTTTTAGGTTCCATAAAAATTCTTCCAATAAGTGTACTTTGTTGTCTTTTGAATTTTATAGGAGAATATTTTGTGGCATGCTTGTTTTTCAAAACTCTCTTGGGCCCAAATTTTGGATTATGCATTGAAAGGGAATGGAGCCCTCTGAATGGAGGAATACTGAAACAAAAGCAAGTAAAAAGTAGAAAGTTGCACTTTTTTCTAACCTAACATTGATTCTGGAGGACAGATTCGAGGCATAGTTTCTGAGTTTGGGTAGGTGAGTGATCTCCCTGCAGTTATAAGTAACTTCTCAAACACCACTCAGAGTTCCTCTGGTCTCGTTGACCTGCTTTTTTTCCTTTCTGTAATTACGGAATATGGCCCTTAAAACCCATGTAGGACCAAATACAGAATCTAAACTCTGTGATCTCATCACCACAAAAACAGGCCGTAGGGACGGTCCTTCTTGCAGGAAGCCGCCTCCCCTTGGGACCTCTGTCACTCTGTAATTTATGGTGGTGCCTTTGTAGTCTCGAACTTAGAAAGGACCTTTCCCCCGTCCTTACAGAAGTAGTGTAACAGATGGGCTGCTCTAGGTGGAGATGGGGCCAGAGGAAAAGTATGTGTGTTTGCATAACGTGTTACAGATGTAATTTTAAGGTGCCCAAACATCGGCAGGTCCTCTGGGCAGAGGGTCTGTCTGGCAGCTGGCGTATTGCGGGCTGTGATGGATATTCTCTTAAAGCTTGTGTGTAGGTGTGGCTGGGACAAGTGAGAAGCTTGCCTTCTCTGCTGAGGTGTGCTTTAAGAAGGGAGGATGGCTGAAGTACTCGCATCAGCTGTGAGATGGCTTCCTTCCCTGGCTGCCAGAACCCTCCGTAAAGAGGCAGGTGATCCCTTTTATGATCGAGTAATAGGAGGACGCCCTGAGATACTTGAGCAGCTGCTGTTCACCAGGTGGTGCCGTCCTGCAGTGAGTGCTTAAATACCACCAGTGAGGTCAGCAGCCTGGGGGCAGAAGAAGCCGGGGGGGGGGGTCTGGAAGTCTTGGCAGCATTTGTGGGCTGCTGCTGAATGCAAGATGAGGAAACATTTGACCCAAGGTGCTCACCCGGTCCATGTCGGTTTCTCCTCCACGTTCTGCTCCAGGGAGATCTCTGCTGTCTCTGAAGTGGGGGAGGCTTGACCCTGTGCCCTGCAGCCGTCCCCGGTTTCCTCCCAGAGAAAGGCTCCTGTGCTCTGTTCTCCTCTTTTTTTTTTTTTTTTTTTTTTTAAGTATGAATTTATTTATTTATTTGTTTGAGAGAGAGAGAGAAACAGCATGAGAGGGGATAGGGTCAGAGGGAGAAGCAGGCTCCCCGACGAGCCGGGAGCCCGATGCGGGACTCGATCCCAGGACTCCGGGATCATGACCTGAGCCGAAGGCAGTCGCTTAACCAACTGAGCCACCCAGGCGCCCTCTGTTCTCTTCTTTGAAGTCCTGGTAGGGAAGGGGGGCATGTCTTCTAGAGCTCCTCATTAAACAGACTTAAAGGGGAGAGAGCAGGACTGCACCCAGGCTTTGCGTGCACGAACCTCTAAGACTCCGCTGCCCTGCCAGGTGGTTTTGTTGGCCTAAACGTGACTACACACGGTTCTGTCCTTTTTGGCAGTGAAGCCCAGCCACAGTGCTGTGAGGGCATTGCCGTGGGCCGAGCCTGATGGCTGGTGTGGTTGGGCATGGATAGTACCCTTGGGGAAGAACGTTTCCCCGGGAAATAGACGAGTCGGTCATGGGGAACCTCTTATTGGAGTCCTTCATTCAACAAGCACGCACTGGGCATCTCTCCTCTTGTGACAAGAGCAGGCGCTCGGGGGTAGGAGTGGCAGGTAAGACCAGCCCTGGAGAAACTGGTAGGAGGGGAGGTCGAGGCAGAAGGAAGCGGACGCCAGAGCTCAGATTTCCTAGGAGAAGGACCGGTGAGATTCCCTGGGGGTGGGGCAGGGGGATATTTAAGCTGTGCTAGGAGGATGACTAATTTCCAGAATGGGAGAGAGATGCCTCAGGATGAGGGAACCGGAGGGCAGAGGTGTGAAATTGGACAGTGTGTTCAGAAAGCGGGAGCTGTGAGGAGTGGGGCAGGAGATGTGGGCACCCTTAGTGCTTTAGGGAGGTTCTTGGCTCCTTATCTCAAACCTTTGAAACATTTGTGTCTTGGGCTGCAAACCTATTAGCATCACTTAAAGAGAAAACCCGAGATAGGAGAAGTAAACAAGTACTTCAGTACCCTGTTCCAGACAGGAGGCTTTCAGTAAATGTCCCCGGTCTGCTCGGATAGAGGGCGTCGGAAGAAAGCACTAATTTTCTTGCTTTTGCCAGCCGGTCACCTTGCTTTCCCCTCTGTTAAGAGTATGTATATGCTGATGTCTCTTTCCTCTCCATCCTGGCTTTGTCGGGAGTTTCTGGGAGGTTGTAGCTGGTTTTATAAACTCTCTGCTGCTTGTCTCCTAGGGCGAGTGTGCTCACAGGATTTCTTTTTTTCCAGTTCTCTTTCTAGTTTTCTGTGGTCGACTTGTCCAGAGGAGCTTTCTGGGTGCTGTGCCCCACCCCACCCCCCGAGTGAGACCGCCTCTCTCTTTTGCCAGCACGTGGACTCTGGGGTGAGGCAAGGTGAGTGGGACTCATGGAGAATCCGACTCCTGACACACCCCGTTTTCCAAGATGAGTTATTCTCTGAAAATTGAGGGATTTGAAAGTAAATTGGGTTTTTAGTCAAAGAAATTTAAGAATTTTTGAAAAAAATTTGGTGTCTTAATTACTGTGTTAAAGCACTTTTATTAGGGATGCTTCGATACTTTTTTTTTTTTTTCCCAGAACTTTTCTGATTTTTTTTTTTTGTGCCCATTTCAAGGTTTTGGGTCTCTGTATGGTTCCTAGCACAGTACTTCTCCACTGAAAACATTTAATACGTGTTGTGTGAGTAGCTTAATACCTTAATATTGACAGTTTGCAAACACAGAAGTCCTGTTAACTTATTCTGAGCTGTGTCTTTTCCCTTCCCTGGGTTTCAAGGATTTTTTTTTAGTTATGTGCTTTCAGGAACTTTAGGAAAGCCGATAAACTTCTGTACTATGGTTTTCCTGTATTGCAGTTTTGTATATGAATTTTCAAACAAAAATACCTGCTTCAAGGGTTTGGGTGAGTCTGGAAGCTCCTGATGGGTAAAACTTTTGTTCTGTTCACATTGTTAGTTGCATTCCCTATCTCTAATGTGTGACAGTTAGTAGGACTCAAATATTCTCTCTTTCCTTTAAGAAGAGAGTTGGCGGAGAACTGGATCTTCAATCCCATCTTAAGTGAGCACAGCTTGGAGGACTGTTATTTATGCTCAGCTGCTCACAGTTGAAGCCACGGAGCAGGAATCCCCAGGAGGTCCAGGATAGAATGGTTGACTGAGGGCTCTGAAGACTGCCCTATATTCCTTATCTCTGGGTGTTGGAAAGCGTCCCCATAGGAGATGGGGGTCAAGGTTAAACCTGCTTCCAAAGCTCTGTGAATTCTTGAAACGCCCATGTAACATGGAGGTGCACCCTGCCATCTGTCCTGTGTGGCTTGCTGGCAGGATTTCACATTCTGCACTCACCCCTCCTGCCATGCCTTGCTTGTCATAAACAACACAGTGATCACATTGCCCCTAAAACTTCGGGGGATCCTGCCAAAAGGTAAAGCTTTTCAGCAGGAGCATGGCTGGGGAGTACATAGCAGAATCTAAGGTGAAGCTTTAAAAATTAGAATACTGGGACCCCCCCCTTCCACCCCCAGTGTACTGAACTAGAAATTCGGGGATGGGGAGGGAGTCCCTGCTATATATGTCTGTTGTTTAAAACTCCTAAAAGAGATAGTTATAACTTCTTAAAAAATATTTCTATGTGGACTAGACTTAAAAACAAAGAAACTCTTTCTTAGCCTGAGCAGATGTTTGGGGGAATTATTTTTGAACTCTACTAACTAGTTTAACCAGTTCATACAGCCAAGCCAAACATTCCCTTATTGTGCCATAATTTGCATGGTAGAACCGTTTTATAACTTTAAGTTAAAATTGCCTAGGACAACACTTTCTATCATTGTAAGTATACAAGGAACGAGAAAAATGACATTGAAGAACAATTTTCTGAATTTAATGAGTTAAGGCTTATTTAGAAATCCAGGTGGGAATCTGCTTAAATGGAATTTTACCCAAAGTATGCAGAGATTTGCATATATTGAAACCAAAGTTTTTTGACCTATGGTAACACATTTTTCAAAGTGGTACTGAAATAGCAATTTAAATGTATTGCCCTCAGATTTATTAGACAGGAAATTTATTTAGTAAGGGATACAGTTTTTTTCCTCTTCCAGGAGGTTTTTGGGTGGTTGAGAATTAGCTAATTTTTCTTTATTCCTTCCTTGGGACCAACTTCAGGAAGTTGATAGGAGCTTAAAAGATCAGTTAAATGTTTAACTGTGTCTCTTGCAAATTCCCTTTCTCTGAAAGAAGACCTTGCAACTTTTTGAGGTTTTAATAAGGTTTGGAAAATAAGTTTATATTTTGAGATCAAAGAATCTTACTGCTTAGGAGGGACCTTAGAGATGACCTGTTACCTGCTTTTCATTGCCTCAGCTTCATGGAAACTGCTCTTGTTAAGGTTACAAATGGCCTCTGATAGAACTCTTTGACATGGCTTTTCTGTAGCACTTGATAGCACTGACCACTCCTCATTTGAAATTTCCTTTTCTGGGTTCCTTTGCATCATTTCTGACTACATTTCTTCTTCTTTAATTTCTTCCTAGGTCCTACTGTATTTGCCCTTAAATGTTCATGTTCCCTGAGCTTTGATCCTTGGTGGTTTTTCTTTTAGTCTGCTGAGCCTCTTCGGGGGACCTCAGTACTTCTGTGGTTTCAGCCACCACCCACGTGTTAATGACCCCTAAGTCTTTCTGTGAGTTCATCCCCTTGTCTCAAAACAATCTCTTGGACATTTCTATTTGGATGACTCATATTTACTTTTAAGTAGGAATATCCAAACCAAACTCCTTTCCCTCCCAATTATTGCCTGCTTCCTGTCTCTCTGGTCTGCACCACCCCTTCCCCCCCGCCCCCAAGTTCCCTTATCCCTAGGCTTCTGTCTGCTTTTCCCACTTTGGTCATTGGCATTATTCAAGCCAGAAATGTGTGACTCATCCTTCATCCTCCCTCAGCCCCATATCTTCATTTGCAGTTAAATTCTATCATTTTAATAACTTAAATAAAAAAGGGAAAAGGCCATTCCACTGACATTTAAATATTATAGGCATTAAAAGTTGTAGTTGGGCTTATATAAGCAGACACAATAACATGAGACAATTATGACCATTTATGTAATATACATTTTGTACTCTGCATAATCCTAGATACTTTTCATATGTTATTTCTAATTTTCACAACTAGTCTGGCATATTATCTCTGTTACAAGTGAGGAATTTTTTAAGATTTTAACGCGAGAGTGGAGAGTGTGCGGGGCTGGGGGTTGAGGGGAGGGGCAGAGGGAGAGAAAGTCTTAAGCAGACTCCATGCTGAGCTTGGAACCCCAGGGCTGGTGGGGTTGGGGGCAGCGCTGGATCTCACGACCCTGAGATCTCGACCTGAGCTGAAACCCAGGGTCAGACGCTTAACTGAGACATCCAGGTGCCCCATAAGTGTGGAACCTTAAGGTTCAGAGATCAAGTTACTGGCCCAAGATCACAGGGCAAGTAAAGTATGGTCGAGTTGGGATTGGGACATATTAAACCTCTAGGTTGGTCTGCTTGACTCTAAAACCTTTGACACCATGTCACTCTATTTTGCTGTGGTCCCATAATGCCACAGTGCTATTTTGGACTTCTGGTTGGTAGGTTGATTTTTGTTGAGGCCAGGAACTGGGTGTTACTCAAATTTGTGTGTCCTATATTTTTTTTCCTTAATAGTAGGTGCTAAGGACAAGGTTTATTTTTTGTTTCTTATTTAGAGAGTGACGTGCGTGTAATCGTGGAATCAGTGGGGAGGAGCAGAGGGAGAGGGACAGGCAGACTCCATGCTGATCGAAGAGCTGGACGTGGGGCTCGATCCCATAACCCTGAGATCATGACCTGAGCCGAAGTCCGATGCTTAACCAACTGAGCCACCCAGGCGTCCCAAGCCTCTCTTCTCTTTTAAAGTTTTTATTTTAATTCCATTTAGTTAACATACAGTATTGTAGTAGTTTCAGGTGTACAATGTAGTGATTCAACACTTGCATACAGCACCCGGTCCTCATCACAAGTGCACTCCTTAACACCCATCACCTATTTCACTCATCCCCCCAACCTGCCTCCGCTCCGGCAACCATCAGTGTGTTTTCTTAAGAGTCTGTTTCTTGATTTGTCTTTTTTTTTTTCCCCCCTTTGCTCGTTTGTTTCGTTTCTTAAATTCCACATATGAGTGAAATCATATAGTATTTGTCTTTCTGACTTATTTCGCTTAGCATTTTATTGTCTAGCTCTATGCATGTTGTTGCAAATGGCAAGATTTCATTCTTTTTTATGGTTGAGTAATATTCCATTATATTTATTCCATATATATATATGTGTGTGTGTGAATATATAGGACTCATTTGCTTTAGCTGTTCATCAGTCGTGTGACACTTGGGCTTCTTCCATAATTTGGCTATTGTAAGTAATGCTGCTATAAACATAGGGGTGCATGTATCCCTTTGAATTAGTATTTTTGTATTCTTTGGGTGGACACCCAGTAGTGTGATTGCTGGATCATAAGGTTTTTCAATTTTGAGGAACCTCCATACTGTTTTCCACAGTGTCTGCACCAGTTTGCATTCCCAAAAACAGTGCACGAGGGTTCCTTTATCTCTACATCCTTGCCAATATCTATCCTTTCTTGTGTTGTTTTTATCCATTCTGACAGGTGTGTGATAATCTCATTGTAGTGTTTTTTTTTTTTTTAATTTATTTATTTGACAGAGACACAGCGAGAGAGGGAACACAAGCAGGGGGAGTGGGAGAGGGAGAAGCAGGCTTCCTGCTGAGCAGGGAGCCCGATGCGGGGCTCGATCCCAGGACCCTGAGATCATGACCTGAGCGGAAGGCAGACGCTTAACGACTGAGCCACCCAGGCACCCCTCTCATTGTAGTTTTGATTTGGATTTCCTTGATGATGAATGATGACCATTCTTTCATGTGTCCATTGGCTATCTGGATGTCTTTGGAGAAATGTCTATTCATGTCTTCTGCCCATTTTTTAATTGGATTATTTGCATTTTGGGTGTTGAGTTGTATAAGTTCTTTTTTTTTTTTATAAATTTTTTTTTTTTAAAGATTTTATTTATTTATTTGACAGAGAGAGACACAGCGAGAGAGGGAACACAAGCAGGGGGAGTGGGGGAGGGAGAAGCAGGCTTCCCGCGGAGCAGGGAGCCCGATGCGGGGCTCGATCCCAGGACCCCGAGATCATGACCTGAGCTGAAGGCAGACGCTCAACGACTGAGCCACCCAGGCACCCGAGTTGCATAAGTTCTTTATAGATTTTGGATACTAACCCTTTATCAGATATGTCATTTGCAAATATCTTCTCCCATTCTGTAGGTTGCCTTTTTGTTATATTGTTTCCTTCACTGTGTGGG